ATTTAATAAATAACAAGAAGACCTCTCTTTTAGAAACTCAATTATAATGTTTTTCATGATTTAATAATCGATGATATGATATTGTTTAAAAAAATGTAGGCTAGTTTCTTAAAAAAACAAAATTGTAAAGTAGTAGTAAAATCTTGAGATTGGTCTATATTACACCCTTAAACTACTGGTTTTGTTTTTAACAACGAAATTAGACATTTCACACCCCTCAATCACCAAAACCATCCAAAATACCTCCCAAAAGTAATTTTAGTTTTGATAGTGTTTCTTACAATTTCGCTACCGATTCAACTTTTCTACTATAGCCAAGCCCAGCCAAAAGCTTATAGACACTCGTATAAAATCATTGTCGCTAGGTGATACCTCATGCTTTGCTACGAAATGTATGGATAAATATATGTTAAATATTACAGAAATGATTTAATCGGGACGGATGTATGCGTATAAATAAATGCTGTCAATTTTTTTGTATGTTCACTTTTTTTTTCAAATCTAAGTCAAATCTATCAAAAATATATCAAACTAATTCAAATGGGTCAAAAATATATCAAATCTAAGTCAAATTTCTTAAAATGCTTTCAAATCTAAGTCAAACAAATGAAAACTAAGCCAAATATGTCATACCTAGTTCAAATTCATCATATATAATGAGTAGAAAACTGGGTCAAATAAACAAAAACTTTGAGAAAAAATATGGTCAAATAAGCATGGGCGTAAACGTCTTTTTTTACCTAAGTTAACACCGTTACATTGCATTCACAAAAGAGGGTCAGATCTGATTTTCATTTTCAAAAAAGAGGGTCAAATGAGCAAACTTAAAAAAGTAGAGTCAAATTAGTAGTTTGAATTCAAAACAAGGTCAAAAATGCAATCGCCCCCCTTTTAATCCTAACCCTAACTTTTCTCTCTAACTCTAGATGCTTATCCATGTGTTGAGTTAAACCTCTCGTCTATCTATAACTAGTAATTCCATCACAAAAGCTCCTATTTACACTTCTTTTAAGGGAAAACTCCTATTTACACTATAACTCAATCCCTTGGTATCCAAAATTTTTACAATTTCCCAAATTCAAAACCCTCTCTCCGGAAAGGCAGCCATAGATAGAAAATCTAGACCGACCCGTACTGTGTCAGACTCCTCCCCCGCATGTGTCCACCCTCATGTCATCTTATGTCCAAAATTATCACCTAGTATCCTTGACTGATCTAAACCTCGGTTTCTCTGAGCGTAGTCATCATCCCGCTGTTAACCGAGATTGACCATGAGGTCTCATGACTTTAGTTCAATCTTGTCATATGACATTTTATCCATGCTAGTCCCGATCACCGCAATTGACCAAAAATATCCTTAATCATCTGCACACAAATTGTTTCTAGTTATAGATATCGCAATCCGATTTGTGTTAATCACACATACTTACACCAATATCGACAAATATTTTCAAACCAATTTCCATTAAATAAGTCATTTGCAAATTCAATTGTTCATCAACAAATCTATACCTTCTATATATAGTTGGTACTCACTAGCAATTATTACATGCAAGTATGTCACTTCATCATCCACTAGCTATTACTATTCTACTAGAATATCTTAAATCTCATGCAAAAATAACACATCATCTAGAATATAATATTATGGAACTCAACATACAATATTTCAAATCATCTTTCTCACATTATTTTCATATTATTTCAACATAAATCATTTGTATAATATTTAACATATTTATCCATACATTTTGTAGCAAAGCATGAGGTGTCACCTAGTATTAGTTATGACAATGATTTTAGAGTGAATTGCATCTTGGGCCAGTTATTATTACCAAGATTTCACTTTGGACAAGAGAAGAGCCAATGTTTTCACTTTATACTAGGAAATATCGCCTTTGTTGCAATTTAGGCCACCCCATGTCTCAATCTCTCCAGCCGTGCATTCTCTGCTTCCAATTCATCACCACCGCCGCCAATCCCTGCCGTTCTCCTCGCCCGTGGTCTAGATCCAATGACTGCTTGGGGAGGAAGTGAGGGACGATGCTTGAGCACATCACTGCTCTGCTCAGCATTGCACAAGGGGTAGAATGCCAAGCCGGGTGTCCCCTGGTGATACGAAGAAGAGATACTGGGCTAGCTCGAGCTCGCGCTTCATGGCCAAGGAACTCAAAACTCCCACGAGCCTCCCATGGCTTCCTGCTTGAGCTCCTCATCTCCATATCATTCTAGCTGCGGTCCGCCCCCTTGCTCCTACTCCTCCATGCATGAGAATGCAACCTGCTGTTGCTTCCCTCTAAGGCCCCCTCCCACAAGTGGATTGAGGGGGATTTGGAGAGGATTAATTCTACATCTATTGCGATAATCCCCTCCAATCCCCAATGGACCTGACCGGATGATGCAAAAGGAATCGTGTCCCTCGCCCTCAAGGTTAGTTAAACTCCGTTTGCTCCACCACAAGCTCGAGCGTCGCCGGTGCTGCCATCCCAGCCGCTGTGCACGAGCTCCTCTGCCTCACCACCCTGATGGCTGTCCCCCGGAGCTTCTCCTCTTCCTACACATGTGCAGGAGATCCTCACACCTTGCAGCAGCAACAATAATGGCTGCCCTTGGAGCCTGCCACTGCCAGCAATGGTGGGATGCACGCAGTGCCTGGCCGGCCGACGAGAAAGGTGGCCCAACGTGCAACCAAAGGAAAGAAACTCTAGTCCAAAGTGAAAATGCAGGCTATACCCTTGCCCAAAGTAAAACTTTGGTAATAATACTGAGCCCAATATGCAATTTACTCATGATTTTATATGGGTGTGTATAATAATCTTTTGGCTGGGCTTGGCTATATAGTAGAAAAGTTGAATCGGTAGTAAAATTGTAAGAAACACTATCAAAACTAAAATTACTTTTGGGAGGGTATTTTGGATGATTTTGGTGGTTGAGGGGTGTAAAATGTCTAGTTTCGTTGTTAAAAACAAAACCAGTAGTTTAAGGGTGTAATATAGACCAATCTCAAGATTTTACTACTACTTTACAATTTTGTTTTTTTTAAAAAACTAGCCTACATTTTTTTAAATAATATCATATCATTGATTATTAAATCATGAAACATAATATAATTGAGTTTCTAAAAGAGAGGTCTTCTTGTTATTTATTAACTTTTTATTACTAAAATATAGAAAAAAACCTAATTGATACTTGATGAGAGAACCTGATAGTATAGCAAGTACCTTTGATTTCGATCCTCTGTTTCATAGTACCAACAATATAGCCAACAAATTATTTTTTAAAATTTTTTCCGAAAGTATGAGCGCGCACACACACAAATGGCAACAAAACCCAATTTTAACAGCGGTTTCATGGTTTTAAGATCCAAATATTATACTCTATCTAGGGGTGAAAACGGTCATGGAAATTCCCGATCGACTGAGCGTCGTTTCCATATAAGAGGTACCGTTTCTGACCATACCGTTTTTGGCTATTTTTAAATGTTGTTTTTTCACAATTCTTTCTACACCGTATTAATGTCAATACTGAGTAGTTTAAATGATAAATATGGTCAATTACCGGCCGGTCGAGCATCGTTTCTGAAAAGATGCTGCCGATTCCGATCGTTTCCGACCGTTTTCGACTCCATCCCAAACGGTCCGTTTGGTTGGAGGGAGTTTTTAGGAGGGATTGGGAATATAGAAAAATGAGGCTATTAAGTGTTTTATTTGGTGGGAGACATGGGAATTTTGGTGGGATGGGGATGGGGAATTGAGGAAGGAACCCCCTCCTTTTCAATACCTCATTTTCAATACCTGGGTAGGGGCAGGTAATTGGGAGGGAATTCCTCCTTTACTTTGTCTAAGCAAATCTCAGCCATCCGTTTTTATTAATGACCTAATCTCCAACTAAACTCCCTATCAATTTCCATCACCTCTACCAAACAAAATATTGGGATTAAAAATCAAATTCCCATCTTAATCTCATCATCAATTCCCTCATGTAAACTCCCAATCTCTTTCCCTCAAGTTATCAAACAAGCCGAAAATAAATTAGTTCCTAAAGTTTAAAAATTTTGTCCCAAAATAAATTGATTTTTACCTTCTTACATACCCCCGATCTGCAAATAAAAAAACTTTATCCCTTGCTACCTACCACCAGGTGCATGGTCATTTCCTCCCTACTAAAGTTTTGTTGGGATTCTAGGAATCCATTTATTTTATTTTGGAACAGAGCGAGTATATTTTTCGTACTTATATGGCACTTAGTTAGAAAAGATATAAAAAGTAGTTAAATCTAAGTAGAAAAACTAATACATTTGGATGCCAAAATTATGAATGCCACTTTATTCTTAGGAAGGTAATTTGGTTGGTTTGAATGGTTGAGATTTAAAATGTCCAGTTCCATAGTTAAGGTGTTTTTTTTTAAAAAAAAAAGAACCTATCTTTTGATGGGTGTAATGGGTGTAATACGAACCTATCTTTTGAGTTTATCTACTACGTATCTTTTCGATTTTGTTAATTTTCTCCTGCAACTATCACAACCTTACCACTACCAAATTTCGGTAACTCCATAAATTTCTACACTTGCACTACTCCATCGGTAGGGTATCAAAACAATGAGAAACCCATATAAACTACTCTCTCCGTTTTAGATTATAAGTCGTTTTGCCTTTGGTCAAAGTCAAACTGCTACCAAGTTTGTAGAAAAAAATATTAACATTTTCAATCCAAAACAAATATATTATGAAAAAATATTCAATTATAAATTTAATAAAACTAATTTGTCTATAAACTTGATCAAATTTGATCCGGAACTAAAGATACCATCTTTAGTCTAGAATTTGGGGGTCCCGGTTTGCAACCCGGGATATAGGGGGTTGTAAACTGGGACAATTGAGGTTTCTCCACCAGTGAGAACTAAGCATCCATAGCACATAACACAATTTTTTAATGCATGACGTTGAACCTCCAAATATCATGTGTGCGATCTCTCAAAAAATTCTTAACAAGAAAACTACGTACCATCAAAGAAATATCATGTTAGACCATAATCAATTCATCATGCAGGATCCATCAACCTTTAAACCTAACACTATGGCTAACATTTGGATTGATGCCGGACATTCACCCCACGGTTGACGCCACGCACTTACCTCCCCGCTAAACAAGCTTGGTTTGATGCTTAGCTTGAACGATCATACACACAAGCGAGTGCATCTGAATGACTTGCTCACATAGCTCGGCTGTCTCATATATTATGTTATTACTTACCCTATCTTCCATGGATTCTTAAGCTTTTGTTCTTGTGCAGGTTAACCTTTCTTCTCTATCTGGAGGAGTTTAGATTTAATTAGCCACACATATAAAAAAAATAAAAATTGTGAAAGGTTGTACCGTACACTAGTGGAGGATTAACCTGGTATGAGATCTTCCTCTTGCCAATTTCCTTCAGCTTCTTCCTCCAGCGGTTGAGTAATGGGGTTTCTGTAATACAGTCAACGAATAAGTATTTTTTTTAGATAATGGAAGCTTTATTAATCTTAGTAAAACTCTATCAAGTGATATAATTATTCTGCGAGCACCTCCGGCTTCTGCACCCAAAGAGTGCACACAGCCAACAAGAAAGAAACAAAAGATAAACTCATCATCCAAATAGCAGGGACAAAAAGAACTTCAGGAGCCCTCTAACCGTAGTCTAGAACACCACCCATGCACCGGGGTAGAAAACTCCATGGCCACTAGCTCCAATTGTTAACAAGCCGCAATGATAGTACCCCGCAAATTGACCTTCTGAAGGATAGCCCATAAGCGGAGCCAATGTGTAATCAAAAAGATAACCTGCAAAGGAGAAGATATGTTTTTTCTTTCAAAAACCACATAATTTCTGCAAAGCCAAATAGACCAAATAGTGGTAGTTGCCCCTAATAAGACCAAAGATCTCAAATTGCGTGGTTGTCTTCTTATCCAATGCCCAAACATATGAGTTGTACTATTAGGTAAACTAATATTCGAAGCAAAATTGAATTATAGACCAAACTGTGCAGGCAAAACGACAATCAAAGAACAAATGATTAATAGTTTCATCTTTGTGGCAGAAAGAACAAGACTTGTTTCCTCTCTAATTCCTTTTAATAAGATTATCTTTTGTTAAGACTACTCCACGACGTAAGTACCATAAGAAGATCTTAATCTTTAGGGGGGCTTTGATTTTCCAGATTCTTTTGTTTATATTGGGAACATCGGTCTGCACCAACGCAAGATAAAGATATTTAACCGAGAATCTGCCATCAGTGGTTAGATTCCATTTAAACTCATCTTGGTCGTGAGATAATATAATATTAGCGATGCGTGAGAGAAGGTGATTCCATGCCACTAACTTAAAGCCAGTAAGGTCCCTGCGCCAAGAAAAGCTTAGAGGACTGGTTTGGAAAATTTCTGAAATAGTTGTATGTTTATGCCTAACAACGTTATAGAGACAAGGATATTGTTCCCTTAAACAGGCATTCCCCAACCATTTATCTTCCCAAAACCGAACTTGAGAGCCATCTTTGATGTTGAAGGAGCCAAACCTAAGAAAATTAAGCTTGGCCTTCATTAGACTAGCCCAAAAGTGTGAGTCTCTTGCTTTCCACTGAGCTTGAGACAAAGGCTGTGACCCCAAATATTTGTTCCTTAGCATTTGTTGCCACACACCATCTGTAGTGAGTAGTTTATGCAACCACTTGCTAAGGAGAGCCTTGTTCTTAATTTCAAGATCTTGAATTCCTAACCCCCCTTGGTCTTTAGGACGACATATGATGTCCCACCTTGCTAGTCTATATTTCCTTTTGTGTCCATCCCCTTGCCAAAAGAACCTTGATCGGAAACAATCAATCTTCATAAGTTTTTATCAATGGAACTTACGGTGAGTATTTCTGTTCTTTGCTCGAGTTTTTCAGTCATGCTTTTTAATGTCCTTGTACTCTGATGGTCCAATGTCATCATCATTGTCATCTTCTTCACTTCAGTATGGAAATGTTTCTGTTCCTGTTGTTTTGGATTGAAAATGTTAAGCTTCCCTTCAGTATGGGCATCTTCATTGGGCAAGTCATCTTCTTCAAGTGTACTAGCTTCTACTCTGGCAAGAACATGTAGTTCGTATTTTCACTGTCTTTCACCAATATTATCTCGCTTTGGAAGCTCATCATCACCAGGGACAAACTTGAAAACATAGCAGGTTAAAAAAAAGAAAGAGGTAAGCAGCTGGTGCAAGTCTACAACTGTCATAAGTCGTAACCACAATTAACGTAGGCATTTGACATCCAGAACTCCAAAGTGCATGTGCTAAATAGGTACTCCTATGCAAGAGAATAGTAGTGGCCTGGTGTGAATCAGACACAAAGACCTGATACTTTTCTTAACACCACCATAAAATTCAAAACTGCAACTTTTGCCAAAAAGCTATAAGATACTTAATATATTCAGACATACCTCTAACCAGAAAAGGGTGCCTACATTTTTTATTCCAAAGAAAAAGACTATACCCGAACTGGAGATACATAAACAGATAATAAAGAGCAGAAAAGAGTATCTGACAGCTGCAACTGTCACAACCACAAATAACATACACCAAAGAAGAGTTTATCTTGTATGCAAGAGCATGGCAGTGATAACCAGACACTACCACTGATGAAGAAATATCACGGTATCACCACTTCACCAGCAATTTAAAAAAGAAATATGTAATTGGGTTACAGAGACTATCTCTAACCAGGCAAGAATAACTACATTTTTTTTTGTTCTAAAGAATATTGAACACAATTTATGCACACGCAGATGTTATTGAGTTAATATGACAGATTAGCACATCAGCTCTGCAAGAACAGCATAGCAGCGAGACAACCATTAGAGGAATGACTTGAAATAATACAAGAAGAAAATATCCAATATATTTTGGTACTGCATATTTGAGAAAGCTAATTATTAGATCTAGCTAGTACATAGCTAAACCAAGTTTTCAAGGACAAAAGGCACCAAATGCAGCAGAGTCCATTCCTATTACGCTTCCTCAAGGATGAGATATCTTCAAATATTCACAAGAATGGACACGAATTATGACCAGGTCTTATACAAAATTTCAGTTCTCTTCTGTCAATTTGTGAAGTCCTACTACACTTTGGCAATGTATACCTAGATATCTCACTGCCTCAGAAATACAACATTAATTGCAAACTCAAGCAACGTTTTCTCGCAGTTTTCTTCTCAGATCATTCTGAACAAACTGATGTCAAAGATTTTATTTTGTTACCTCTGTCCCGAAATGTAGCTATTTCTAGCACAATACCTTATCCCAAAATGAAAGCTATTTTTCCACCTACCCTACTCTCAACCAATCACAACCATTTTTCTTCATTTGATTTCTTCATCTACTTTCTCTTCTCAATCAATCACAATATTCCTCGAATCATTCTCACCTACTCCCTCCGTTTCAAATTATAAGACTTTCTAGCATTACCCACATTCATATATATGTTAATGAATCTAGACATATATATGAATGTGGGTAATGCTAGAAAGTCTTATAATATGAAACGGAGGAAGTACTTCTTTAATACCCGTGCCCACCTAAAAAATGCTTACATTTTGTGACGGATGAAATAGCAGTTTTCTCATCTGAGACCACTGGCCAGGGACCAAAATCTACTGTCACATTTAAAAAAAAATGTTTGTCAAATTGGGTAACTTGATAGAAGTATGATATTTGAACCTCTATTGCAGTAAACTACCTATACATCAATATTCTACAGTAACTCTAAAAAAATGCATGGCATAAGTACTTTTGTTTCTACAGTTTTGGAGGTAGCTCTGTATTTCCATCATCTCAATAGAAGGCTTCGGTTAGATTGGCACACTTTAAATCATTTCAAGCTTACATGTTATCACAAGATTTAAGAAATTGTAGAAACTAAGAAAGAAGCCAACCAAATATAAAATTATTAAAGAAAGGTGGAAAAAAATTAAAAAAATGTATACAGACCTTATTTTTATTGGATTTTACCACTGCTACCAGGACCTTGCTAGGTTTGGTTACTTGTCTATTTCTGAGAACATCATCATCAAAATCATCCAACATTTGCAGGTATCTCATAATTATTAACAAAAAGGCATTTAAAAGCTAAAACCATCCAAATATATTAAATGTGTCGTTTAAAAGAGAAAGAGATGGCACAACTAATGACTCACCTATGAGGAGTTGTCCTGGTGTTTGAAACCTTCTCAGGCTTCAACTGCGTGAAATTATAGAGCCCTTTTTCTTCAAGGGTTGCTCATACTTCCAACATTTCAAGGCTTTGTGAGCTGATATGCTCATCCTAGAATTTTAATATTTGTTCAGCTTTTGTGCATCTGCATTATTTTCGAAACAAAATGCTAAAATATATCAAAAGTGTTGTTTCAGTTCAACCTTGTCCTTTCTTTTGTCAATTTCATTCTAAGCCTTATTAGAATGGTCATTCTTTGTCAATTCAGCAACTTCCGCACGCTGAATAAAAATTATCATGATGAGTTACCAGAATACTTCAATTATCATGTTTGTACTTTATAGTAAAGTAAAGAAGAACAGATCCTATTTTTATCTTATCCCGTACTAGTAAATTGTCCTTGTCCAAAAAAATTATCTTGTCTAGCACATCCATGGTACTGCTACCAGGCGTACAACAGTCATTAATGTCTCCTTGTTGTCTTGGAAGATATATTGGCCTGTTTAATGATACGTTTAATATCAGATATTATTCAAATATTTGCAATCAACTCAATGATAAAAAATCATAGTATTAATTGAAATTGGTACTGCATTAACTCCTTCCAGAAAATATACAAATTAAAGAAACAAGGTTGTTGTAGAAAAGAAAACAAACCTTTTCTACAATACTCTTCATCTCTACAAGATGAGCAATTACAGGATGATCCGGCACAAACAATCCCTCAGCTTCCATAAGGAGGTAGTAGAAGGTTATATAGCCTAAGAATAAGCCAGTAGGCAAGCTCGTTTCACTTCCAAAGGCTGCATTTTACCCTTATGGTTGCCTTGCCCAACTATCACCTGCAGAACAGAGTTTATTTTAACAAGGGCAAGCAGTTTATATCATATAAGATAGGCAAAAGAAATTATTTTTCCTTCTCCTTTAGCAAGCTTTGCCACAATCTTGAGAAGATCAGAAAAATAAAACAACTCCTGGTCTCCCACAGCAAGCAGAGTCAGGGTGCATTACACTTAATATCCCCATTAGCTAGTGCTAGAAGAGTCGCTATCACCTAGTCAGTGTGAAGTGTGACTGAACTGATAATGCGGCACAATGATGTCAAGGCAATGGCACAAGAAAATCAAACGATATTTATTTAAACAACTCAAAGTATATAACTAATTATAGGTTTGCTGCTTTAACTATAACTCAAGAAAATCAACCGATGCTTTAATTGTAGGTTCGCTGCCAATTTTATTATAACTAAAACCCCCCTACAATTCTAACAAAACTATGTAAGATAAACGTTAGAAAATGGAAAGCTCTTTCATGAAAACCACTTGCATGGCCTAATGTTTGTGTCATAGCATGAACTATGCTAATTACTATCAATACGAAGGCCGGTGCAAGTGTCAATTTTCCAATGCAGTCACTAGAACATACTTAAACAAAAGGCTATCTACCAACTTGATGAAATCATAGAGAACGAAAAATATCAGCCAATTCAGTTCAGCCATAAGGTTTTCTATTGCTAATGAGATGACATTCACTAGTATTCAAGTCAATAACGAAAATGTGCTTAGGTAACACTAAACATTAAAAATGAATGGGTTTTTTTTTTCGGAATGGTAGCCCAGTCTGATATGATATCTCTTCTCCAGTGCCTTGAAAATAGCATGAAATTGCACGAGTTCAAGTTCAAAACCATGTTACCCAAAACAATAGAGCATGCATGATAACTTGGTTTCCTAGAAGATTGCCATTTGCCAAACACATTATATCACATATAACTTGTATGGATTCCTTTAACACATCAAGGAACAACAGAAGATCACCAATAGTCACCGCATGAGCACTTTCCATCCTCAAAATGATGGAAGCGATTTATATCCCTCACGATGATTTCTCGTTTAACTATTTTAGATATCACCGTAAATGCAGTATGACAATCCAAACAGGAACGCAAATTCTTCAATATCCTTATTGGATGCCCAGGAGGTGTCATCACAAGGCCATATGCTAAAGCCAGCCTCTCACTATGCACCCACAGCATTCGAGTCTTTTGTTCCTTGTCTACGTCGTGCAACACTACATTAATGTCAGGAATATAACCTTCCCTACTAGTTTTAAGATTGAGCCATTCCAGCATTGCATTTATCACCCGCATATCTGGATGGTCCACTGATCCCACTGAAAAGGCATGAATTTCACCCTTGATCTCAACCCAACTAAGACCAGGTACCTTCCTTACACCAATATTCCTCATTGATTTCCTCAAAAGGGCAACTTGATCCAAACTTCCAGCTGCAGCATACATATTTGATAGTAAGACATAGGTTGTCTCATCTTGTGGTTCAATCTCAAGTATTTTTTCTGCAGAAAATCTTCCCAGAGCCACATTCTTATGGATTATACAAGAGCTAAGCAATGCACGCCAAACCATAGCAGATGGTGCCGAAGGAATATCTCCAATGAATTGTAGAGCATCATTCAGACGGCCAGCTCGTCCTAGAAGCCTAACAATGCATGTATAATGCTCCATACTTGGTTTGATGCCATGATCAATCCTCATAGAATCGAACAGAGATAATCCATGATTTACTAATCCTGTGCTACTGCAGACGGATAGCAGAGCAACAAAAGTGATATCATTGGATTCCACGTTGCTTTTATTCATCCTGTCAAAAAGTTCTAGAGCATCTGCCGCTTGTCCATGAAGCGCATATCCTGAGATTATTGCATTCCATGAAATTATATCGCGTTCCATTAAATGTTGAAATACCTTGAGAGCATCCCTAATGTATCCGCACTTAGCATATGTATCAATAAGTGAATTGCCAATTACGGTGTCATTATTAAATGTGGACTTCTCAATTGAACAATGAATCTGACCAGCATGTCTTATTGATGCTGTGCTTGCACAAGCCCGGAGCACACTCGAGTATGTAACTTGAGTGCAAGGCATCTGAGCAGCTTGCATCTCACAGAATACACTCAATGCTTCTTCTCCCAAACCAGACTGACTGAAGCCAACAACAATTGTGTTCCAGCTCACCTCATTGGCATCTCGCAATGATGAGAAGATCTTAAGTGAGCTATCCATGTCGTTGCACTTGGCATAGAAATCCATTAGTGCATTTCCAACAAAAAGATCAGACTCATGGCCTATTTTTATAGCATGGTTATGAATTTGCTTTCCGAAATCCAACTGAACCATGTTAGTACATGCTTGCAGAACACTAGAAAGGCTATATTCATTGGGCAGCACAGAAGAACGCATCAATCGGAGGAACAGTTCAAAGGCTTGTTCATTCTGATTGCTCTGTGCATACCGGGATATCATAAAACTCAGAAGTATCACATCATCATAGGGAATCATCTCAAAAGCCAAACGTGCATCCTTAATATCCCCACATTTGGCATACATATCAAGCAAAGCACCACCGACATGAGGCTCCGTGTCATTAAGGGTTTTTATGGCGCAACCATGGATGCCCTTGCCTAGCACAACTGATGGCAAGCAAACTGCAGCTTTGAGCACACTGGTTAGTGCAAAAGGGTTAGGCTTACAACCCGACACCCTCATCTTGGAAAAGACCCGAAAGGCATTCTCTGGGCAATCATTTTCAGAATAGCAAGAAACCATCGCAGTCCAGACAACAGCATCCTTACGCACAATCCCATTAAACACATGTTCCGCATCACTGACAAGACTGCATAAGGAGTAGGCATCAATCAGCCCTGAACCAACAAAGGCGTTGTGATCATGGCCCAGCTTCCACGCACATGAGTGCACACCCCCGGCAAGCCCTGCCGCATCCATGGCAATAGCTAGCTTCAACATGGTGGTGAGCACGAACTGGTTCACCTCGTGCCCCTCCCACCGCAGCCTCCTGAACAGAGCCGCGGCAGCCTCAAAATCACCGCGCTGAGCGTGGGCCTGGACGAGCGTGACGAAGGACACCATGTTCCGCTCAGGCATTCGGTCGAACAGCCTGCGCGCGCTGGCAAGGGGCCCGAGCTTCCCGTACATATTGAGCAGGACGTTGGCGCAGAAGAGGTCCAGGCGCCCCACCCCTCCGCGGCGCACTACATGGCCGTGCACGGCGCGGCCGCCGCGGGCGTCGCCACGAGCGATGCAGCCCTGCAACTGCCTGGCGCACGCGAAGGAGTCCACCCCGGGGACGGAGGGGAGGATCGCGAGCGAGGTGAGCTCGTCCTCCAGCCACTGTAGCGCTGCTGCATAGGCTGCGAACCCACGGCGGTGTGGGGCAACTGGGCAGGACAAGGTGGGGAGGAGGAGGCCGCGGTTCAGTGGCCGGAGCATCCATCCGCCCAGTCGCATCACAGCCTTAGCTTCTACGAGAAGCTGAACCTCTCGGGCTTATATCTTTGGCAAATGGCGGCCCCAATGTTCACCGAGAGAGAGAGAGAGAGAGAGAGAGAGAGAGAGAGAGAGAGAGAGAGAGAGTTGAATACTTGAATCCATTGCCATTGGGGGATCCCAGTTTCAGGAGGCGCGGGCGCGAGAAAGGAGGGAGGAGGCAGTAGCGCGGAGGTGGCGCTGGCGGAGGGAGGAAGGGAGAAGTGGGGCGATCGGCGAACCCGGATGCTTGAGGGCAAGACGGCGGCGGCGGCGGCGGCGGCGGCGGCGAGAGACGAGAGCCAGTGAGCGGTGAGGGAGAACCGGAGAAGATGTTCCCGGGCTGGGGTTGGCGCCTGCCTTGGAGGCTTTGATGCATGGGCTTGTTTGGTAAATTGAGACGAGGATTGGGAGTTTTTTATGAGGAAATTGATCGTATGATTGTTACGAAAATTTATTTTTCAATCTTAATCTTGTATTTTTGGTAGAAGGTAGAAATAATATTGAGTTTAGACTATGTATTTTTAAATAAAAATATAGTGCTAAGATTTATTTAGATAGGGTAGAGGATGAAATCCTTTCCAACTCACCATTATCCAGGTCAAGAGGAGATCCCTCCTAAAATCTCCCCTCTACCAAACGCATTCACCCTTAGCCTTTGATATATTAGGTTTTTATCAAAATATTATTCTCAAATGGTGTGTTTATCACTATAATATCATTTCAGACAAAACTACCTATAAACTCCCTATTTTAAAGCTACCTTCTCACTGATCATGATGGCATGATTTGGTGACAAGCGAACGGCACCACCCAACACCCACATCCCGTATTGTGAGCGAGACAGATGACAGATGCGCTACAAACAACTTCAGCCCACTCGACCCCTTCATTTTTATTTAAACAACTTCACACCTCCCCCCTCCACCACCCGTCTCAGCTCCACGTTATTTTCTCTATCAATCCCCGTCTCCCACCCTGACCATCATGTCGGGGCTCGAGGACTAGATTACGTCACATCCAATCATACTTCTTTTTTTTTGGACAAACGGAATATTTGGTTGAAAATGTTTATTTTCATGTATTGGAATCATAGTCCTATAAAAACAATTTGTGTATAAAATTTGAATCCTAAAATTTGCTTATATTTGGGAACATAGAGGATATAAATTTCACAATAAATTGGATCTCTAATCTTCCAAATCTTGAATCATAGGTTCACAATCCAAGGGCCCAGATCTTATCCCCAATCCCTATGCAAACCCTCCATATTCCATTCGCCGTCTCACATCTCATTATCTCATAGCCCATCACAGCTATTTATATCTTAACTAGTGAAAAGTGACATCCAAAGTGGACTGAGAATGAGCCACATTATTTGGTAAATATTAGCCATTGAACTTACTACAAGACAAAAAAGAGTGAATGAATCTTAGACCATTGGATTAAATGATGGCAAAAGAACACATTCAAGAGACTTCAGGAGATGAAGCTACTAGAAGTGGAAAGAAAGAAATGAAGGAAGAAAAAAGGCACCCTCATTCCCTTAACTAAATATTCATTAGTCAAGATTGAGCTATTCAGGGCATATTCAAAATGTATGTTCATGTGATTATTTTTGTTTCTAGCAATTTGTTGTTAATGTATTTGAGAAAAAAAATTGCTACTGAGACATGCATATTCCTTCCAATAATGAGTCATGGTCACCTGAATATAGGCTTAATGATTTTTCACACAAATTTAAAAATAGAAATTAAACTAATCCTTAAAAACCTACAAAATATATGACAATGAGTCACAAAAGGGTACGCACTAATAGAAAATAAGTGAAGAATAAAGGGTGATACATATGTCTCATACCTATTAAAATTTACAATAAATATTAAGCCATCTACTTTACCAACATAATACTATGACTCATCCTGACCCAATATTTTACTAGCAACAAGAAAAACAACAGATTGATTATATTTTACTAGCAACAAGAAAAACAACAGATTGATTGACACTCACGTATCACGTAACAAGAGTCGCGCAAATGTGTGACAACATAAGCTAGTATATATGATGTAAGATTCTAATGAAGACCCTACAGGATGAACCTTATACAGGAATAGTTATCATTAGTTTATGACCTAGTTAGAATTAGTTTGTGACCTTGATAAATTAACCTCAGGAAATTAGCAGCAGTTCAAGTGGCATCAGTAGTTCAGATTTAAGCCTGAAAGACCACATAGCAGCATGTCCCATTAAAAGAATCAAATCTTATCTAATATACCGAATTCAAGGTAAAAAATCAAGCATATGATTGGGCCACGTGGCTCCCTAAGATTTTAGGGTTTGCTCCTTTGAAAACCAGCCACGTGTCCCGTGAGATTCAGCTAGAGCGTCGATTGTGCAATTGTCTCATCTCTTCTATTAATCTAAAGCTAGCCATTCTTCTAGCGTTTCATTGGTCCACGTGGCATGTTTCATTCGTCCAGCCCTCTCGATTAGTCCGGACACTGGACCGTGAAAAAGAAAAAGAAAAAGAAAAGAAAAGCCATTGGTTCATTCACTGGCTGTCAATGGATGGCAACGGGTCGGGTTGGGCACGGGTAGAGCAAAACCATGCCCGACCCCATGCCCGTCGTCGCCCGCCCAAACCCTACCCACTAGGGTTAGCAGGCAAAACTCTGTACCCGTACCCATGCGGGCACGGGTATGCCCAGCGGGTACCCAATGGATCTCACATGAATAATAACTCGAAAAATATATAATTTAACAAAGAGAAATAAAATCAACAATTTATCAAATTATCAGCTATCAACAATAATTTGAATTACGTCACAACTTATTATTAGTAGTTAGTATCACAAATGAATCAAGAGAAAGGGGTATAAGAATTAAGAGATAAGTCGAAATTAGCTAATACATATGAATTGGGTCGGGCATGGGTTACCCACAGATAAAAAATGAAACTCGGCTGTTGCTCACGATGTCTGCGGGTCTCGGGTAGGCGTGCCCACAGGTAAAAAATCACACCCACACCCGTGCCCATTGGATCGGGTATCCGTGGATACCCGAACCCATTGGCAAAATTACCATCCCGCCTGTCATGGGCTGTACAGCCCAGTCATGCATGACTGCACTAGGCCTGGTCATCTAGCGTTGTTGCTACAGCATTTGCACGTTGCACTTTACCTTCTCGGGCTAATTAATTAGTAATAACACAAACAGGACCAAACAAAAGTAGGAAAAAGGAAGGTAGAGAAAAGTATAAATAATTTTGTAAAAAAAATCTTCAAAACATAAAATATTGATATCCTGTATTTATATAAAATAAATAATAATCGGGAAAAACTAAATATCAAATATAAAGTGAAAGAGATTGGATGAGAATTTGTTCAAATATAAACTAAGAACCATTTCTTCAAATATGCACTTTATCATTGATACTATATGTACGACTTTTTGGTTAATGAAATCACAACAATTTTGAGGAAACATAACTTTAAATTTTCTAATAGAGTCTAGCTATTTGCCAAATTATTGATCATCATTAATTACAATCTTACTTTGGTTTTTCTCATAATTCTAAGACAAACATAAAATTAAATTCCATTAACATGTCCATTTGAAAGAATTTTTTTCAGAGTTAAACTTACTCATGTAATAATATATTACTCTGCATGTTTAATATTACTGGTCATTCTCACATTTCAAATTATTATTTTTAGATCGTGGTCTTCTATCTTCACCTTTTAAATGCCATGTATAACTGTCAATCAAAGTTAATATTGCTTTTGAAAACGATTATAATGTAGTTAATAAGCATATCAGTGTAATTTGCCACATCTCCTTGTTTGATGTGAAATTTTGCTAGAGTTACAAATAATATAAAATGAGAGGTAGGCAAATTTTCTATATATATTACAGATGAGCCATATTACATGCTAAATTAGGTGGCACGCCAACAGGCGTGCAGATCTTCTAGTTGAACCATTAAGCAGAAATCATAGGTCTTGTAACAAACCATCCAGAGCAATCCGTATCGGTATGGCATTAAATCGCCATTCATAGCATGTAGCTTAGTTAATTAGCAGTACAACTTGTGACACAATCAATAGCTGAACATTTCAGTAGTTAGATATAGCATGTTTTCAGTAAGGCATACGGTGATAATAACCAGATAAAGTCCTTCAGGATCAAGCTGCAGGATGTAGAGTTTCAATAATCAGCAGTGTAACATTGTCCTTCAATTACCATGGTTTCAGTACGCACATTTAGTGTGCTTTCAATTCAGTGCTGCAGTTCCATATGATTGTTCAGTGAGCATTCCATCCATAAGCATATAGGCATTCAACCATATATTGAACTAATTGACCAAGAATTTGATAATAATTTGGATTAATCTGACCAACATAAAGTACCGCTGAGCATAATATAATATTAATTATATGAGCCAATAACATGAAATCATACTGAATTATTATGGATGTATATCATGGAAGTCTTAGTACAGAGTAATTGGCAGCAAAATCATAGAAAACATATTTATCAGACTCATCCTGGAACCTCTTAGATCATGCAAAAAGCAAGAACAGCTCGAATAGGTGTTTCGGACTCAACCATACAAATACTCTGCAAACCAAAGAAAATAAGTACTAGTACATTAAGTTTACCAGCCCAGTCTATAAAGAATAAGCAGTATCCTGCAACTATAAAAACACATTACTCTTCAACTTCCTTTTTGATTTCTTCCAAAAGTTCATCCTTGTAGTCCTCAAATGTTCCATCAAATTTGTTCACAGTGCCATCTTCTACAACCCATATCTCACTCCTCTGCTCATCGTCACACACTCTAGAGATCAATCTCGAGTCATGGCTAACCAAGACCACACCACCAGTGAATTCATCCAGTGCATCTGCCAATGCATCGATACTTTGCATGTCTAGGTGATTTGTTGGCTCATCCAGCAGGAGAATGTGGGGATGTGACATTGATATTGAAGTGAACACAACACGGGCCTTCTGTCCACCAGATAATTTAACTATTGGAGTGAGATGGTTGTGCCCTGGTAAACCAAATTTTCCGAGCTTCGCACGTACAGCCTCTGCTTTGCTCATTCCCTCCTGATCAGGATGGAGCCTGAGCAAATACTGAACTGCATTTTCCTCCATTGTCAGTAAGTCAACAAAATGCTGTGAGTATCGCCCAATCCTCAGCTTCTGACTCCTCCTTACCTCTCCTTTGGTTGGGGTAAGATCACCAGCAAGTAAATTAAGAAGTGTAGATTTTCCTGCCCCATTGGGACCAACAATTGCAACACGTGTTCCCATGTCAATGCCAACATCAACACCAGACAGCTTGAAATCTGGCCTATTAGGGTAGCTGAAGCCCACCTCAATGAGCTGAAGGAGCGGTGGTGTGAGCAAAGTTGGCTCTGGGAAGTGGAACTCAACCTTGTAGTCAAGCCATTTCTGTGGAAGATCAGCTGGCTTCATGTCGTCGTCATCATTTGCTACATTCTTTCCCTTCCCCTTGCTCTTGGCAGCCTCCTTATTAGCCTTTGATAGTGCCTGACCTTTGACCTTGTCTTGCGCTGCCTTGCTCCCAGTCTTCTTTGCTGCCTTCATCTGCTTTTCAAACACCTCAAACTTCCTATTCATCTCCTTCCTCTTCTGTTCATACCCACTCTCAAAGTCGTCAAAATTTCCACGATAAACATGCAGATTCTTATCATGCAAATGAATGATCTCATTGCAAACTGTGTTCAGGAAGTCGCGATCATGGGACACAACAATCAGTGTTTTCTTCCACTGTGAGCACAAGTATTGCTCCAACCAAAGAACAGCTCGGAGGTCAAGATGATTAGTCGGTTCATCAAGCAGCAACAATGTTGGCTGCATGAACAGCGCACGAGCAAGCGAGATGCGCATCCTCCAGCCACCACTGAACGATTTAGTGGACCTGGCCTGCATAGCCTGATCAAACCCCAGCCCAGCAAGGATCTTGGATGCACGAGCCCGGGCAGCATCAGAATCCCGGAGGTTGAGCTTCTCATAAACCTCAGCAAGCCGCTCATTGTCATCAGCATCGTTAGAGGCCTCGAGCTTTGCCTGCTCGGCACGAAGCGCTGCGAGCTCTTCATCAGCAGCAACAACAGCCTCGAGCGCTGAACGATTGTCTCCAATAATTTCCTGCTCCACAAGCAGGACATCAATGCTCCGGGGCACCGGGACCTGCCGCCATGACAGCAGCTTCAGAAGGGTGGACTTGCCCATGCCGTTGGGCCCGACGAGGCCATAGCGCCGGCCGTGCGAGATCCGGAGCGAGGCGTTCTTGAGTAGCTCCTTCCCGCGGGCAGAAACAGAGAAGTTCTCGAGCACAATATCCTTGATGTTGTCATCGGCGGCGGCGGAGTCACCCTCGGAGGCCCCGGCGGATCCAGCGACGCGCGCGCCAATAACGACAGAGAATGCGTCGCGGTCGTCGCGGAGCGCCTCCTGCTTGGCCGCCTCGGCTTGCGCGGCCGCCATCGCCTCGCGCTTGTCCTTCTTCTTCGCGTCCTTCTGCGAGGGCGCGATGGCGTTGAGGTCGACGGTGGCGCGGGCCGCCTTGGGCTTCGTGGCCATGGCAACGAGGTCGGCGTCGTCCTCCTCCTCATCGGAGGGGGGCAGGTCGATGTCGCCCATGTAAGACGACGCGGGCGCCTTGGAGGGCTTGGGCTTGGACGCCGCCTTGGATGGCTTGGCCTTGGACGCCGGCGCGTCCATGGAGGCCAGAATGGCGGAGACCGACATCGGCTTGTCCTTCTTGCCGCCGGCGGCGGAGGACGACGAGGAAGTATCTTTGCGGCCCATGGAGGCGGCGGCGGCGGCGTGGTGGGGAGCTGGGGAATTTAGGGTTAGTTTTGGGCTCGGTCGATTAGATCGGGACGGCTCTGCTGTGTTTGGCTCCGTCTTAACTACTGTGTTTATACTTATAATACTATTACTATAAAAAAAATGCATGTGAATGATCTTAAAAACCGACTTAAATACGGATATTTATTTTCAAAAAAAGCAAGTAAACTTAAAAACCGACTCATACACAGATGACATATAAAAATATCGACAAAAACATCTTTATTTTTTAAATAGCAGAGACAGAGATATAGGTTAAAACCAAAACATAAATTTAAAACCGACTCAAATACGAATGACGAACAGCAGAAACATCTTCAATTTTTATAACCGACTCAAAAACGGATGACGGACCGCGAAAATATCTTCAATTTTTATAATAGTAGAGATTTCCCCGTACAAATTAAAGAAATTCTCCTTGTTTTCTCGGCTCGCCTCTTCTATCTTCTCGCGCGCTTGTCCTTCTTCTTCCCGTCTGCTTTCTGTTGGCAACTTTTTTGGTCAAGTAGATAAGCATGATCGCAACACCTAAACGTCTTGCGGTGATTTGTAGAGTCGCCAACCACCCCAAACCAGCAAAATCTAGATCAAGTTGGGTTTTGATAGATTAAACCGGATAGCGGAGCCGATTTAGATAAAACGGTGAATAACTACATGTCTCGTGGGCAAACAGAAGGTTTACGGGACAAACCTACAAAGGATTTCGCACTCTCGCAATGAAGGCGAATGATTTACGGCGTAAATCAATAAAGATGGACGAATTAAAGTAGAGCTAAGTGAAAAGCAGAAAGCGATATTGAAAAAGCGATTCGATTGATTGATCGTTGTGTGATACATTGTTTGAACCGACCTTATCCATTAAATAGGGGTTGGTCTTGCCCTCTACAGGCCCTCCTCCATGTCTAACTAGGGGTAGAAAACAAAAAAAGAACCCAAAACATAGCCCCCTGAGCAAGGAATCTCGAGACCCGACAAAAACGGAGTCTGACTTGGACTCTGCTGGTCAGACCGGCCCTCTGGCCACAGTCTGAGTGGTCCATACATGGCGGTTAGATCGGCCCTTCTGGAGGAAACCGGTAGATTCCCAAATCTTGGCAATTTTTCCTATTTCGCCTCTAGGTGCCAAATTTGAGTGTAAACACATTCTTTGTCAAAAGCAATATTGATAGATAAGATCAAACCGAAAAAATATAAGATTTAAGTTGATAAATATAGATTTAACTATGATTATACAAGTTTGAGTATAAGCCGATGTAACTCAGAAGATGCCATGAGATAATATAATTTGAACCAATCGGTCAAAACTAATAATATAATGTGATGTAAATAGGATGGTTAAAACATCCATTGGCTGAAGATCCAATGTAAATGTTGTCGAAACGACAACCGCATACGTCGAAAGACGTGGTTACTCAACAGTGGTTGGAAAGAAACGAAGTGTATTAATTTTAGAATTTTTTACTTCGGGATCCCCTTATTACATGGCCCTAGGGGACTATTTATAGCCCCATTATAGGTTCTTACTACTAGGGTTTAGGTTATACAGGGGAATTTACATGGTTACCCTTACGAAAGGGACATTTACAGGGGGTACATAATGTTATGGAGGTTCATGGGCCCCTGATGGGCCGTCGGGCGACCGCCGGCCCTATAGCCCCTAGGCTTGATGGGCCGGAAAGGCTTCTTCGGCCCTCGCGGGGGCGAACTTGCCATGGCGAAATCGTCTTCCTTCGGCAGATACTCTTCGCCTTGCACCCTTCGCCTGGGACGCCTCTGGCTCGACAAGGTACTCGCACGACCCCTCGTCTCGCGCCGTTCTTGCTCCATAGTCTTTGCCACGGGTTTCGGCAGATTTGGTCGAAGGGCCTCATGCCATCCGCCAACAGTAAATAAATTAAAGTGTATATCAACTAAGTAATCATTATATCTGATAGCTAACCCACAATAAAGACAACTCATCGGCTAACAGTCCGATGAAACGTTGCATGAAAACCTATCGGCTTAGTAGAAATAGACTTATTAGTAGCAATCTAACAGATCGAGCCTAACTAAGATATTTTAAGATTGACGATAACAAGAAAAAAATATTTAGCCAATAGATATATATACAAACATGATTGATACATCGATCTATCTAAAACGGCAATACGATTAGAAAAACATCAACTTAGTCAAAATATCGGACCTAAGTGAGAAAGTCCTAACTAAGCCGATACCACTCTAAATAGCAATGCAGTTAAAGATATAATCAATATATCAGATAGACAATGCTTGCGTCAACCTGAATAAAATATTGGACTTAAACGAGAAAGTTGTAGCCAAAGTTAAATAGTATAGGAAGAGGAGATTATTTCCTCGCGGGAAGTTGACGAAACTTACTTCCTCGTGGGAGATCGAACTTAACAAATGCAAACCTGCTCAAAACTAAGAACTCGCCGGAATAAAAGTTGGCAATGTACCGAAAGTAATGTATTGATATGTGGAAATAGATTACAAAGTCTACGGGTGTACATATTTATACCCTTAGGTTGATATTAGTCCTAATCGGACAAGATACAAGTTTCCTAAAGATAAAAGAAAAGATATAAGTCCTGATCGGTTGATTGACTTCTTTCCTTAACTGAATCCTCTAAACAACCGTATCAAATTTTGGTGTTAACAGCTTGACGATGACTCAACAAAGAACGACAAGCGATGCTCACGGGCAAAGCACCATGATGACGACGAGAACAGAGGCCTACCTGGCAGATCAGGATCGATCCCACTCAGGGTGAAGCGCGATGATCATGCAGACTATGAATGAAAAAAAAAACAGGTGGCTGGGCCGTATTAGATCAACAAATGCAGAAGATGATGAAATTTGAAGGACATGAAAAGGTCACAGATTAATCAAAATGGGTACAATTCAGTTGTTTTTCTTAGAATAAATAGAAGTAGCCAGCTAAGAGCTAAACTACAAATTGAATGCAAGTGTTTAAGCTTAGCACTAATGCCACCATGCGCTTCAGTCACCCAGCTCCAGTGTTCCCATCTCTGAAAAAAAATCGAACAGCATTGGATCAATTCCAAAAAGAATCAGGAAGACAAGCTTTATCATCTAGAAAATGGAGCTTTAGGAAATGACTATACATAAAGTTCAGAAATCAACCCAGTACTGAAAATTGGTCTTAAAATCAATCCAGTACTACCAGGCCAAGGGTATAGGGTCCCAAGAAGGAGGAGGCTGGTCTTCTCCAACTCTAATTGGTGGACATGCAATCTACAAAGCAGACACAATTTACATTAGTAAAATTAAAATATTTCTAAAGTGCAAGGCCCTATATGTGCTAGTACCAATAAAAATTGAAATAATTTTCAATTGAGATCAAACCGAGAATTTTCAATTATGTTCATATTGGACATGGATAGGTACAATTATGTAGATCAAAATGCTTGTGCAAAAATCAAATCTTGACTTCTGTTTTGTCCTATACTAATCATATTCATAAATGTATAACCAGATGAGATATACAATAAGGAGCAAAAGACGTTGAATCTGTCAGGAACTTACCATGTTGTGCATCTATGGTATGTACTCTAACCATCATACTAATCTAATTTGTTGGATAAAGATAAAAGAGGCCACGTTAACTGGTGACTGCTTAAAACTCGACAAACAGCAGTAACCAGGTACTGCACCTCACAATTCTACCTTTAATAAACATTCTTCCAAACTTGGTTTGCTTGAATCATCTAAGATATGAAATACATAGCTAGCTTGCACGATGACTTTCGAGGCAGCACATGGTGTCTCAGTGATACTGGAATCAATCATCCTAATCAGTATTTCAGTGAAAGTCAGAAAGTTTTGAAAGCAAAGGTGAGCCACCATAGTTGATTTGCATTAATTTTTGCATTTTGTCAGCATATGATATGTTCAAATTGACATTAATTTCATTTTATTCCACAAAATCAAGCAGTGCAGAGCAAGGAGCAACCTAAATTGTGATGCTGCTCAGTCCATCCAATATGCAGAAAATCAGGTTTAATCAAGACACTGATTAATAACCTAAGAAAGGCTTATTCCAACGAGAACCATCAGTCCTCTAGATCCGCTAGCTACATCAAAATTGCACACCATCTTTAACCAAGAACCTTGGACCAAGAACCAAACCCTAGGAAGGATAGGGAGAAGAGAGGGGAAGGAAGAGAGACTCACCGGTGAGAAAGTGGCCAGCGGAGGGGACGGTCGGCGGAGGGGAGAGCGCCGCCTCCGGGGAGAGTGCCGCGTCGCCGTCGCGCCGTCGACTCTCAATCCGCACCCGCGCCACCGCCGCTGCTTTCCCCTATGCGTTGATAGTTTCCTCCTGTGCGCGAGGGTTTCTTCCACGCCTCTTGGGTCGATGATTTTTTCCCGGACCGGGGTGAGGGGGAAAGGCCGGGATGGGCCGGGACAGAATCCAAACTGGGCTTAACCGAACGCACACTTTCTTGTAGGCCGGGATTTAATACCCACCGGGGAGAATAAGTTCATCTGAGGTCCCTTAACTTGTCAACAAATCCGAATTTGGTCCTTCAACCGAAAAACCAGATACAATAGGTTCCTCAACTATCAAAACCAATGCAAATGAGGTCCTCGGCGGTTTGGATAGCGGTTTTAACTGACGTGACGTGTCGCTTACGTGGCTAATTTAACTATGTCTTCATCTGACGTAGCATTGATGTGGCGCTTACATGGCAATACGAAGTGGGAAAATAATAATCCACATGAGACCCATATGTCAGTGTCACATCCAAATTAATTTTAAAAAGGTGGGGCCCACGTCATTTCTACTCCTCTTCTTCTTCCTCCTGCTCTCTCCCCATCTCCCCTCTCCTCTCTCCAAGCACGATGGAGAGCCAGCGGCGGCGCTGGTTTTCCTGTGTGGCGGCGTCGGCCGCGATCCCGACGAGTAGCCGGACCCCGGTGTGCAGTACGACCCGCCGCTGTCGTCCTCGTCGTCCCCACCACCACCACCTCCTCCCCGGCGCCGTCCTACAACCGCCCGGCGGCACACGACGCAGCGCCGTACCAGGCGCTCTACGGCGGGCCCTACGCCGTGGCCACCGCGCACACCCCCGCCGCCGCCGCGGCATACCACGCGCAGGTGAGCCCGTTCCACCTCCACCTCGACACCACCCACCCTCACCCGCCGGCTGCCGCCGTCCTACTACTCCATGGACCACAAGGAGTACGCGTACGGGCACGCCACCAAGGAGGTGCACACGGTGAGCACGCCTTCTTCTCCGACGGCACCGAGAGGGAGCACCACCACGCCGCCGCCGGACACGGCCAGTGGCAGTTCAAGCAGCTCGGCATGGAGCCCAAGCAGAGCACCACGCCGCTCTTCCCGGGCGCCGGTTATGGCAACACCGCTGTGTCGCCGTACGCCATTGATCTTTCCAAAGAAAATGACGATGAGAAAGAGAGGCGGCAGCAGCAGCACTGCTTCCTCCTGGGCGCCGACCTCCGGCTGGAGAATTCGGCGGGCCACGACCATGCGGCGGCGACGCAGAAACCTCAAACCTCTCGGCCACTTCTTCGACGAGTGGCCGCATGAGAAGGAGCAGCAAGGGCTCCTGGATGGGGCTCGGACGTGAGACACAGCTGTTCATGTCCATCCCCATGGCCGCCAACGACCTCCCGCTAGGCCGCTACCACAATGGTACGTACTAACCTTCGTCTCCACTGATCAAAACCGTGCTGATGATCCAATTTGCTTCTTGTTTGGTCTTGTGCAATCTGCAGACGACAGCGGCGGGTCGACCGGGGTCTGGCTACTCGTCGGGATCGCCGCCGACGTAGCCGCACGGGAATACCAGCGCCGCTGTCTTCTCGCCATCGCGTGGTGGTGGTGGTGCTGATTCCCCCCGGCCGCTGACTCTCCGTCGTGCCTGGAGAGAGGAGAGGGGAGATGGGGAGAGAGGAGGAAGAAGAGGAGTGGGAATGACATGCGGGGCTCACGTGGGCCCCACCAATTTTTTATTAATTTGGGTGTGACACTAACATGTGGGTCCACGTGGTTTATTAATTTTCCGATTCGAATTGCCATGTAAGCGCCATGTCAGACGGTGACCGAGTCAAATTAGCCACGTAAGCGCAACGTCAGCCAAAACCACCATCCAAACCGCCGAGGGACCTCATCTGCACGGTTTTGATAGTTGAGGGACCGTTGTATCTGGTTTTCGGGTTGAAGGACGAAAATCGGATTCGTTGACAAATTAAGGGACCTCAGATGAACTTAGTGATCCACAGGGATCGCGGCCCAATCCCTGCCATTTCCGGGCCAACCGAACAAGGCCTAAGGGGTTGGAAATCTTCATTTACTAACAAAATGTGACACCGACATACAAAATTGTAAAGATTTCTTCCACACATGGTGTAAGATGAAGATGGTATAAGATTAAGGTGTAAGATTAAGGTGGTATTAACGTATAATTGATTGAGTTTTAATTATTTCAAACTTGAAAAATATATTAATATGATATTTTAGAGCAACTTTCATATATAAAGTTTTCGCTCGAAATGCACCGTTTAGTTGTTTAAAAAGCGTGCCACGAAAATCTTAATCTTCATGCAACTTTTGTTGGAAAAAAGAACGAGACTTAGTTTAGTCCCACCCTCTTATTTCTGGGTATAAAATCTGTACTACTTAAGAAAAACATAGTGGTGGTCTTGAATCCTGATGCAGGCAGACACACGAAACGTAGATCATTCGATCATCAAATCGAATTAGGCAGACATACGCTTCTCTCCGCAATTTCATCGAGCGACGCCTCCCATAGCGACACAACTCCCCCCTCCCTTTTCTCCGCTATGCCACCCACTCCGCCTAACGCCAATGCCAGTCGCCCAGCCACCAGCGGGCTGTGGTCACCAACCCTTGCCCCCCGGGACTACTCCGCCGCGCACTCCACCCTGCATCGCTTGCCGCCGATGACCGTCGCCATCGCGCCCTGCCCTACCTGCCGTCGAATCGTTGCCTCCTCCGCCTGCCTGCAGGTCACCATAGATCTCCCCGGCATCCCCGCAACAGCTTATGCATGCAGTTGACGACACGGTCACCTAGATGTTGGCAGCCCGGGGAGGTGGTGTCGAAACAAGAATTCGGCAATAATAAAAGGGGTAGCGCATGAGACCTAAAAGTGGATGGATGCAGAGACAAGGATTTAGACAGGTTCAGGCCCTCTCGATGAGAGGTAATACCCTACTCCTTTTTGGGGATTTGAATCCGCCGGGTGTATTATAGATCTGACGATCTGGTTGTGAATTATGCCCCCTAGAGGGCCTCCTGCCCATCTTATATAGGATTTGGGGGGGGGGGGGTCAGGATTACAAGATAGAAACCTTAATCAATATGGTATCAGTTTCCTAAATATACTTTACAATATTATCAAACCAGAACTTTAGGCCGTTCTATAATATACAAGGAAATGTAATACCAAAGTCATGATCGGTTACATATTTCATAGATATAAGTTATCCCCTATAACCAGTCGGATAACCATGCCGTGTGGGTATGGGGTACCCATAATCTCCACAGTAGCCCGTGAGACCTTCACAGTCGAAAAGATAATCTTCTCTCGAACCAGATTACTCCAAAGCCGAGTGCATCAATCATCTTTGCCATGGTCTCCCGAGTACTTTTACCAAATCTAAAGACTGTGGAGGGCTAAAAATTAATTAATTATAAACGTAGGTGCATCGACTAGATGCACCTAATAGGTATAGCCCTCGACTATGTGGTTAGTTGAACAAACAAAACATATAGTCAAGGAGTAAATAATCCAACCAACCGAGTGGTTTTGATAATTGTAGTAAACCAAGTGACTTAATATTAATATATAGCATATGCGGTGTGAATCCCCGAATAACATGATCCGAGTGATATACCAACTGCTTTATAAAATATGATGCGTGCAACCTAAAGTTGACTACATCATTGAAAATTCACATTGCAAAACAACTATAAAAAAGCTAGTATGCTGTGAACAAAGAAATTTCTAAAGTATTGGGCACACACCATGCGCACACTGCTTTAACATATGTGCTTAAGTCCCTAAAAGACACATGGTTTCACCATACCTAGAAATATATGGCATATGTGGTGTAAAATCCGAGTAAATAAACTCATAAAGGATTTACTAATCGCCCGAAAAACGACCAAAATATATAGTCAACCTAAGCCATAATATTGGTCAATAAGAATGCACACTTACGTGGCAAAAAGCAACGATATTGTATCCAATCAATTGCTTTATAAACCCAAACAATGCCCTGACTTAGATAAAAAAGTCAGCAAGGCAGCTATATAAAGCTTTACTGTTTGGTACCTTTTAAAATGCATTGTACCAACTACTAAAAAGTTGAGTAAGAGCGGTATAAAAGGATTTTTAAAGTATTGGGCACTTGATCACGCGCACTTTTGCCTAACCAAAAAATTTCTAAGTCCCTAAAAGAACGTGACAGGCCACGCCTGAAAATATGGGCTGCAGACATATTAGGCCTAGACCCAAAATATGCCTACTGATACCCTTAGAATACGATGTGTGTAACGCCCCGATTTTCGTTCGGGATTAAAAATCATTTAATAATCCATTTTCTAGAAATTAAATAAAAGTTAAATCAATTCAATCAAGTGAAATTAATGGGGGAATTAAAATTTTCCCTTAAAAATCATTGGCCGAGAATATTTTGTAATATTCTTTGTGCCCTAAAATACTCTCCGGATTTTTCCGCGAATGTTCGGAGCTCAAGAAGTAATCTTAAAGTCACAAAATTCAACTAATCAATTAAATAAAAAGAAAACCAAATAAAAATCCCTCTCCTCCCTCTTGGGCTCGGCCCAACTCCCCCTCCTTCCTCCCGGGCCAGCCACCCTCCTTTTCCCCTGAATTTTTTTCGTTTTTAGATTTTTTTTAATATTTACAGAAATAATCTATCGACCAAAAAAATTGCAGAAATAGCCCCTGCCGCCCTAATGGTGGGCGGCAAGCTGACGTGGCAGACGGTGGGTCGACCGCGCCGTCTGCCGCCGTCGGCTAAAATTGCGATTAGGCCCTTGCCGCCCATACAGAGGGTGGCAAGGGGCTAATTGCAATTTTGGCCGCCCATAAAGAGCTTGCGGCCGTACTTTTTCATCTGGGTCCCTTGCCGCCCCAATAGAGGGCGGCAAGGGACCCAGATGAAAAAAGTACGGCCAAAAGATTTTTCTATGTTATGTTAATAATAAATAAAGAAGTATTTATTGGTAAAACTTGTTAATATTGTTATAAAAATGTATTGAAGTTGGTTGTTGCGCAATTTCATATGTTAAGTGAGGTATTATTTTGTACCTTATTCGACGTAT